CTTCCCTACACTACTACCTGCCTACCTCATAGTTATTGTGAGAATAAAATGAGACATATTTGAAATTGTCTGCAAACTCTAAAAGCATAATGTAGCCAGAATACATTATAATAACTGTAATTTATAAGTTCTAAATCTCTTTCAAGCTTCAAGTGGTTTTAGTATTTGGAGACGTGATGATCAAGTACTTAAGTACATAAGAACAAAAATTTTCATATCTCATCAGAACTATGGTTCATTAAGCCCAATATTGTCATTGGCAGAGAAACCCAAGGGTATGCAGAAGGCTGTGATTATCGTCCTTGGTGTCAACTTCAAAGGCTAGCGACAAAACCCAACATGTTCTAATTCCATTTAGTAATCAATTATGACATTATCCTCTATGATTTATTTTAATCTTTCAAAAAGTATATTTGTATTATCAACTTGTGCCCTCTTGTTCTGTTTTTGGAGTGAAGCTTTATCTTTTCATTTCTAAGCTTACTATGTTAGCTTCTTTCAGATTTCAAGGGAAAAGAACAGAGGGATTTATTGTAAACGTTTATGAAGAAGGAAGGGAATCCAGGAATTTGTCTCAGTGGCTCCATTTGTAGGTGTGATGAGCCTGAATAGTTTTTTTTCTCTCTCTCTTTCTCTCTTTCAGAATATAACAATAAAATACTAATAGCCACTGAGCACTTACCCGATGGCAGGGACTACCCTAAGCACTTTATGTAAGTATCATATAACTGGACCGCACACTGGGAGGCAGGCTCCATCATTTCCACATGTGCAAAATGAGAATCAGAGAGGCTAAGGAACTTGCCCAAGGTCACAGAGCTGGTAAGTGTATTTGAACTCAAAGAGTCTAACCCTGGAATGTGTGTTCTTAACTACTTGCTGTATTGGCTTCATAGGTCATCCATCAAAAGTATTTCTCAGGGTCATGGGCATGCTTGCTCACGCCTGTAATCCTAGCATTTTGGGAGGCTGAAGCAGGCAGATCACCTGAGGTCAGGAGTCTGAGACCAGCCAAGCTAACATAGTAAAACCACGTCTCTACTAAAAATACAAAAATTAACCGGGTGTGGTGGTACATGTCTGTAATTCCAGCTACTTAGGAGACTGAGGCAGGAGAATCACTTGAACCCAGGAGGTGGAGGTTGCAGTGAGTTGAGATTTCACCACTGTACTCCAGCCTGGGTGACAGAGTGAGACACTGTCTCAACAACAAAAGAAGTATTTCTCACGCCCGGTGCAGTGACTCATGCCTGCAATGCCAGCACTTTGGGAAGCCAAGGCAGGTGGAATGCTTGAGCCCAGGAGTTCAAGGCTGCGGTGAGCCAGGTGACAGAGCAACACCCTATCTTTTAAAAAAGTCATCTCAGTGTGGTGCTGCTACCAAATGCTGACTTGGCATTTACTTCTCAGCTTCTGTTGCTGTCCTCTGGGGGTGTCTTAATTAAAAGTGTCCTGAGAGGGAATATGATTGAGTTTGCTCGCCAGTAGTCAGTATAGATAACCCCCAAACTCCACAATTGGATAGGGTTCTCAGGATAAGCCACTTCATCCCTTAAATCCAGCCGACATGACTGTCTTGGGCAGGTACCTGGCCCTATTGGTTTTGACAGGATAATAAGATCACATCACACAAAGAAAGGTCTGTGGGCATGGCAGGCAGCTGAAAGTTTTTGGACTATCCAGTCTCACTTAAAATGCAGAATGTTCTCTGACTTCAAGGACTCTCCCTCTGGTCTTACCTTTTCAGACTGAAGAGTCCTTATTCTTTCTCTGACATTGTTTCTGGTCTTCTCTAGTTCTATTATGAATTAATTGATGCTTATAAATCAGAACCATATATATCCTTTTTTCCAGTCTAAATGTATCAAGGTTTCAAGAAGACAGGATAATCTTTTTCTTTTGTTTCCAGCATCTTCGTGTTGAAGCCTCTCAGAACATGGTCTAATTTCTTTCACAGGGATTAACAGTCCATGATGGTAGAGTGGATCTTTCTAGAGTCATCTACAGACATTTCCCTTGAAAAGCCCTAGGTGAGAAGCACACTCAATGGTCAGAATGTGGTATAAAGTACTCTAATGCCCTCATGCCATTGCTCATGCTGTTTTTCTCTACTTGAAATGTTTTCTGCTAGCCCATGCTTTTGGTATGGCATTATGATAAAGTGGTTAAAAGTATGGGTTCTGGGGTCAAATAATTAAGGCTTTAAATTCCAGCTCTGCTTGGGCAAGTTTCTTAACCCTTATGAGCCTTAGTCTCTTTACCTGTTCAGTGGTTTTACCACCACATACTTATCTCCCAGGGATCATCACTCAATTAGAGAATGCAAATCAAGTGGTCACTGCAATGGCTGACAAAGAGTAAATGCTCAGTAGATGGAAGTTCTCCCTAATATTTCAGGCCCAGCTTGGATGCCTCTGCCTTTCCTTTTTCCTTGGTCTCCCTTATGCGAGATCCTCTATTCCTCCCGGCACTGGTCAATTTTTCATCTGGCTACCATAAACCATTATACAGAAGTGATAAGACAGTATTCCAAGATGTTAACCATTTTTCCTTCTGTGATCTCTTTTCCCTAATTTCCCACCCCTCTATTCAAACCACGGGTCTTTTTGTACTACTAACTCAGGAAAAGGACAGGGCAGCAGAAAACAAAGAAATCCTGAGACTGCTCCTGGCTTCTTGGTTTCAAAACTCCAGTCCCTTAGGGCAGGCGTCCCCAAACTGCGGCCCCCTGAGGCCATTTATCCGGCCCCCCGCCGCACTTCAGGAAGGGGCACCTCTTTCATTGGTGGTCAGTGAGAGGAGCACAGTATGTGGCGGCCCTCCAATGGTCTGAGGGACAGTGAACTGGCCCCCTGTGTAAAAAGTTTGGGGACGCCTGCCTTAGGGTATCAGAAACAAGTAGTAGATTTGACCTGGAGGAAGGACTGAAGGATTGTGGCAGCTGTGATCGAAGCGCCAACACAATGCAGCATCAGCCAATTGCTCATATAGGACTTTTGGACCATGGCTACCAGAGCCTTCGGCTTTTCAAGAGAAACTAAAAACAATCGGGATTCTTAAAAAGTGAGTATAATAGCAAACATCACCCACTGCATTTTTTCTTTCAGCTCTTATATTCAGGAACAACTGATGGGTTAGAAGTTGGGAATACAAACAAGATAGTTCCTGTACCAGGAGCTCATCTGGAGAATTAGACACATAAAAAGAGGACATGGCATTAAGTGATAAATCTTAGCTTAGTGATTTCCAAAGCATAATCCCTAGGAACATCAGGGAACTTATCAGAAATGCAAATTTGCAGCCAGGCACAGTGGCTCATGCCTGTAATCCCAGCACTTTGGGAGGCCGAGGTGGGCAGATCACCTGAGGTCAGGAGTTCGAGACCAGCCTGGCCAACATGTTGAAACCCCATCTGTTATAAAAATATAAAAATTAGCCAGATATGGGGGCAAGTGCCTGTAATCCCAGCTACTCAGGAGGCTGAGGCAAGAGAATTGCTTGAACCAGGAGGGTGCAGTGAGTTAAGGATCATGCCACTGTACTCCAGCCTGGGCGACAGAGTAAGACTCCATCTCAAAAAAAAAAAAAAAAAAAAGCAAATTTGCAGGCCCCAATTTACCAATCAGAAAGCTGAGATTGTTTTAACAAGCTCTCCAGGTGATTCTGATACACCCTAAAGCTGGAGAACCATCTTGATAATGGAAAACAAAGACGACTTTGGCACAGACAACCAACCAACACACTTGAGCCAAACTTGAGAGCCTCTGCTATCTATAAATCACTTTCACAGTCCCTTCTAGGCTAGATGCTAAATTGGTTGCAATCTGGTAATGCACAAGAATGAGACACAAGTTGTATCTTGTCTCTGCAATAAGTAAATTGTAAGAACTTCAAAGGCAGGGTTCATTCTACTGTTAGTCTTTTTCCCATTCTTTTCATATTTCAGATATCAGCGCAATGCTTAGAAAATATAAGCACTGAAATTTAGGTAGCTTATTAGGAAATAAGAACAATTAACCTGGTGCAAGAGTTCTATCTTTATGGGGGAGAAATTGGAAAGCATATATATACTCGCAAATTTTCATAACTTTTCTTATGTCTGTAAAATATACATAAAACTTAGCATTTTAACCATTTAAAATGATGTACAAGTCAGCAGCATTAAATACATTCACATCGTTGTGCAACCATCACCACTATCCATCTATAGAACTTTTGCATCTTCCCAAACAGAAACTCCGTACCCATTAATTATGGTGCATTTTACCTCGTTTTTTTCTAATAGGATTTTTCTTTCTATTGATTTGTATGAGCTCATTTTAGAGAGACCAGCCCTTTGTCCTCTGCCAATTTGTTTTTTGTTAATTCTATTCGTTTTTAAAAATACGTTCATAGAATCACAAAATCATGTTTAGAATATAAAATCCTCTATGAATTGACTGTGTTGCCGTCCTGAAAGCCTTCATCATCTCAACGTTATGAATATATTCACTTACATTTTCTTCTAAGTTTTTGTTAACATTTCAATATTTAATCCACATAGGATTCACTCAGATGTATTTTATCCCTAAATGGGTAATTAGCTCTTCAAACATCATTTACTGGACAGTCCGTCCTTCCCCTACTGACGTAAAATCTTTTCATACTAAATTTCTCCATGTGTTGGTAGTTACTCGTGCCTCTTCCATTTAGTGCTTCTGAGAATTTTCAACACTATTTCATTACACGCATGTACCATCAGTTATTTAACCAATCACCTTTTAGTAGGCATTTGGGACGTTTCCTGCTCTTCCGTACTAAACAACGCATATAATTTCGGGCTACATTAAATAATTATCTGTCTCAGTGGTTCAAGTTGCGTAAACTATGCGTTTACACCTTTCTTCGGATTACTTTTAAAATGACAACCACTATGTTTTGCTGGTCTCAATTATCAAAGAATTGGCAAGAAATCTGACAGCTGGGGTTTAGGATTACCCGCGCCAGACCTCTGTAATACGCCAGAGGGCGCAGTTTCCCGACTCGGCCTCGGCCACATCCGGGTTCCACCGCAGATTCGAGCTGGGAGCAAGCGGAACCTTTCTGCCGCGTCTCTAGCTAACACGCACCGCAGGGACAGTTCAGGCCTCTGCGCACCGTTCTCCGGGAGTCTTGCAGTTTGCTTGGGGCAGGGAAGGCGTGCGCGGAGGTTTTATCTGCTTCTGCCTCCTTCGTGAGCAGCATGGACGTGCTAGCCGAGGAGTTTGGGAACCTGACGCCGGAGCAGCTGGCTGCGCCGATCCCGACTGTAGAGGTGAGTGCTAGGCACACACAGCAGCGTCAGCGGCGGAGAGGCGCCCCGAGGGGGCGTTGCCCAGAGTGTTCGGGCCGCCAAGGGGCCGGGCTTGCGGTTTTCTGCGCATGCGCTGGGCTTCTGCGCATGCTCACAGCGTCGCGCGTGCGAGTCTCCACAGCCGGCCTCCGCGTGCGCGAGTAAGGGCAGAGCCAGGAAGAGCTGTGGGGTCGAGAATCCCCGTGGCTGCCTCTCGGATTGGAGCTCTTCCAGTATAGGTGTGCGTGGAGAGCACTGGCCCTCGCACTTACTTTGGGGGACGTATTGCATCTTTTCAGTCTTACAAAGGACACTGGGGGCCGGGTAGCTCAGGCCACTTGCATGAGGGACCACAGCTGGCTCTGGTGGTAAAACCAGATCTTCTAAATTCCAGGCTAGTCATCTTTTTAACCTGGAGTTCCAGTTCAGGTTGCAGGGGAATTTTAGTTCTGATTATTTACTAAAGAATTATGCCGCCGGGCGCGGTGGCTCAAGCCTGTAATCCCAGCACTTTGGGAGGCCGAGGCGGGTGGATCACAAGGTCGAGAGATCGAGACCAACCTGGTCAACATGGTGAAACCCCGTCTCTACTAAACATACAAAAAATTAGCTGGGCATGGCGGCACGTGCCTGTAATCCCAGCTACTCAGGAGGCTGAGGCAGGAGAATTGCCTGAACCCAGGAGGCGGAGGTTGCGGTGAGCCGAGATCGTGCCATTGCACTCCAGCCTGGGTAAGAAAAGCGAAACTCCGTCTCAAAAAAAAAAAAAAAAAAAAAAAAAAAAAGAATTATGCCTGTGTGTTTTCTGGGGGAAAGGCTCCAATACCTTTCCTCAGATTCTCAGAAGTTAAGGACAGCTGTCCCACAGCGAGCTGCCTAATGAAGTGCGGCTGTCGACATATCTTGTTTTCTGATAAGGCACATGTTATAGCCTCTCTGAGCCTCAAATTCTACATTGACGTGGAATAGGGAAGTAGAGACATGTGGCCAGAGAAGATAGCAAGGGAGAGATGTCAGGGAGAGAGAACAGGATACTTGAAACCTCTTAGGCAAGAGCATTGGATGTTTTTGAGGAAGGAAAGTAAATCTAGTAGTATTAGAGTGAAGAAAAATAGAGAAGAGATAAAAGATGAGGGTTAAGTAAGGGTCTTGATTATGAAAAGTTTGGATAAACATCTGACAGGACTTGTACTTTGTCTTGGAGCAAAACTTTTGAAGGATTTAAGCAGAAGAGTGACATGATCAGTAAATCTATCAAATTAATAAGAACCTCCTTGTCTAGGTGTGGTGGCTCATGCCTGTAATACCAGCAGTTTGGGAGGCTGAGGCGGGCAGAACACTTGGGCTCAAGAGTTGGAGATCAGCCTGGGCAACATGTAGAGATAGGGCAAAACCCTATCTCTACAAAAAAATACAAAAATTAGCCAGATGTGATGGCATGCACTTCTTGTCCCAGCAACTCAGGAGGCTGAGGTGGGAGGATCACTTGAGCCTTGGAGGTTGAGGCTGCAGTGAGCCATTATTGTGCTACTGCACTCCAGCCTGGGTGACAGAGTGAGACCTTGTCTCAAGGAAAACAAAACAAAACCTCTTTATAATTTGACAAGTTAAGGAAGTTGAATTAGCAGTTCATCAGATTCAGTCTATTTGTGCATGCAATAGGCTGCTGATCATCACCAGGCAAAACTGTACTGGCCGAGTGCAGTGGCTCACACCTGTAATCCTAGCGTTTTGTGAGAACAAGGCAGGTGGATCACTTGAGGTCAGGAGTTTGGTACCAGCCTGACCAACATGGTGAAACCCCATCTCTACTAAAAAAAAATACAAAAGTAGCCAGGCTTGGTGGTGCATGCCTGTAATCCCAGCTACTTGGGAGGCTAAGGCAGGAGAATTGTCTGAACCCTGGTGGTGAAGGTTGCAGTGAGCTGAGATTGCGCTGTTGCACTCCAGCCTGGGCAACAAGAGTGAAATTCGGTCTCGGGCAGGGGGAGGGGGTGGGAAAGCCAGCATTCACTGCATTAAAAGCCTGGTACGTGGTTAATCTGGAACATGGACTCTTGTCAGTCTAACTACAGAGTCTTCATCCTTACCTGCTAATAAGACTGCTTCTCCAGAGCGCTGAAGAAATGAGCCTGGGAGATTTCTATTTCTTGTCTGAATTTACACAGCTATGAAGTGATCAGTGCCATAATTGCAGCCTTCTGATTCAAGAATAAAGTTTCTCTTCCGGCACTCTGCATCCAATCCACCATCACTTCTAAAAGGTCTTGAGTTCTTAATCTATGCATGTCTGAAATCTCATTTCCCACTGTTTTCCAACCCAGAACCACTCTTCTCTCTTACATCCAAACTGGCCTACTTGGCACCTGACTTGTCCCAATCCAGTCTGTTCTTTGCTCTGCAGCCAGAGCTGTCCATTTAAACACACAAACATGATTATATTGCTCCCCTGGTTAAAATTCGTCAATCTCTGCCCATTGCTCTTGGGGCAAAATACTAGTGTTTACCACGTTTGTAATAAATATCTGCAGTCTGGCCACTTCTTACTTCTCTGGCCTCCTTTCCCATGATTCCCCCTGTCCCTCCCATGAGATCTTTCTACTCTGCTCACACAGTTCCTTCTGGATCTCTCTCCCATTCCTATTTGTAGATTAAGTCCCACATTTCTATGATATAACTTCCCTAGGAAGGCCTTTCCTGATTCTCCCAGAAGATGGTAGATCTCTGTACTTGCTGCCATTTCCTTTTAAACTGAGGATATTAAAGTATTTATTGAAACTTTCTGACTTCAGTGTTTTCTCTGAAACTTTTTCTATATAGGAGCTCAGTTTTACTTGAACTGGCCATGCCTGGTTTGTTTTTTTGTGCTTAGGGTAGCACAGCATCATGGTAGTATGATAGAAGAAACAACACAAGCTTTGGAACCAATTAATCACTTACCTTGTTAAATAAATATTTATCATTATTACTGAGTACTTACTTGGTGGTGTATTGTTCACAGGGTTCATATGGGTTCAAAAAATGTGTTTCCTGCCTCCCAGTGTGTTACAGGCTTATAGAGAGAGACATGTTAGCAGGTGGAATAATGTGCAGTAGGTACTGTGATACAAGTAGGAGAGGGATATGTTGGTATTACAAATGGTAGCCGGTATGTGATACCTGAACTGAGTTTGCCAGATGTGGATGAAGTGTGGTGGTGGGGAAGCATTCCAGACAGAAGGAGCACCAGGACAAGAACCTACACTGTGATATAGGAACTTGGCAGGAGGTGAGTGATACAGGAACTCGGCAGGAGACTGGAGGCGTAGGCACAACTACTGCTGTGAGAACAGTGTATGATGTATGCCTTGCTGTGAGGTTAAGAGGTGGTAAAGAGGGTGGGGAGGCACCGAAAAGTTGTAGGGAAGGAGGTGCTTGGCTATGCACATGACATGCACACTGGCTTTAGTGTTGTGCATTGAAAGGGATGAGCAGGGAGATTAGAAGTATTGCCGCAGTCCAGGTGAAAGATTTTGAGGGCCTCAGCTGGCACAGGAGCAGAGGATGAATGCGAGGAAGGTTAAAAGGAGGTAGACTCAGTAGAACTTTTGTTTTCCTGTTGATTAAGAGGAGTTGGAGAGTTAGGACTTGTGGGTATCTAATGTGGGATTGAGCGAGATCAATGGTGATATTCACTGAGATTGGTACTAGTGCTGAGGGGAAGATTTAATTTTAAACATAGTGAGTTTAGGTAGCCTCGGAGGCCATAAGGTATCACTGCCCAGTCAATAGTTGGACAGGCCCATACCCAATAGCTTACTGCAGTAGTGATATTTACTCACTCATTTGTTTGTTCATTCAGTATTTATTGGAGTCTTTTATGTGCCAGGCACTGTGGTAAACAGGATACACAGGGTCACTGCCCTTGAAGGATCCTACATTTGGAACTGGGGAGATGAGGGAAGCTAAACAACATTTTCAAACAGTGTTGTTTGAGATCCTCTTTTCCCAACCCTACTTGAGAATGAGAAAAGACATCACCAGGGATGGAACTTTGAAGAACACCAACATTTACAGTATGGCAGAGGAAAAGTGGCATGAGAAGGCCCAGCCAGAGGGAGGAAAGACCTAAGAGAATGATGTCACAGAGCGTTGTAAGACAGTGATCAGCATGGCCAAATACTGTGGAAAGGGAACGTGAGGGGAGAATCAGGGGAAGTCTTCTGAAGTAGCAGCCTTGGTGACCTCTGTCAAGCTGTTTCACAGGCGTTTAGGGCATGTAGATGGGAGTCCTGACGATAATGGAATAAAGGAGTGGGAAGCAAGGAACAGAGAAGCTAAGTATGGAGTAATTTGGGAGAGATTGTAAGCTGAAGGGCAGGGAAGAAAGTAGTCAAGAGTAGTTGCTGGGTCTATGAAGTTTAAATTTGTTTTTTTTGAGATGGAGTGTCACTCTGTCACCCAGGCTGGAGTGCAATGACACAGTCTTGGCTCACTTGAACTCCTCCTGGGTTCAAGCAATTCTCCCACCGCAGCCTCCCAAGTAGCTGGGGCTACAGGCACCTGCCACCACACTCGGCTAATTTTTTTGTATTTTTAGTAGAAATGGGGTTTCACTATATCGGCCAGGCTGGTCTTGAACTCCTGACCTTGTGATCCGCCTGCCTTGGCCACCCAAAGTCCTGGGTTTACAGGTGTGAGCCACTGCTCCTGGCCTTTTTTTTTTTTTTTTTTTTTTTTTAAATGGGCAGATTTGAATCCTTTACTGGTTTTAAATAGAATAGTTTGACTATCAAGGACTGAACTGGGGCAGGGTTTCCAGTCTTCAGGAGAAGGTTGGCAAGATTGTGTTCATGGCAGAAGGCTTAGCCTTAGACTGAGGAGTGGACCATCCTTCCTTTTAAACAGGAGGAAACGAGTATGAGAAGGGATGTAGAGAGAGGAATTTGAAAATGTGGGAATATTGGCTTATAGGACTGCTATAACAAAGTAACCACAAACTAGGTGGCTTCAACAACAGAAATGTATTTTTTCTTGTAGTTCTGGAGGTTAGAGTCTGAGATCAGGGCGACAGCAGAGCTGGTTCCTTCTGAGGGCTGTGAGAGAGGATCTGCTCCGTGCTCTCCCCCACTACAGGTGTTTGCTGGCAATTTTCAGCATCCCTTGGCTTGCAGGAACTTCACCTCGACCTCTGTCTTCATCTTCACATGGCATTGTCCCTGTCTGCATCTCTGTGTCCAATTCCTTTTTTTCATAAGGACACTAGTTGTATTGGATTAGGGCTCATCTTAATGACTCATTTTACTTAGTCACCTTTGTTAAGACCCCGTCTTCAAAAACAGTTACATTCTGATTACTGGGGGTTAGGACGTTAGCATATGATTTTTGAGAGGGACACAGTTCAACCAATATCATTGTCATTTTGCTATTTTTAAATTTAGGCATAATTTATATAATAAAATCTATGGATTCTAGATATTCAGTTACATTGGTTTTACAGTTATGTGCTATATGTGGGCATTTCCATCACCCCAGAAAGTTCCCTTATGACCTTTTTCTGTCTATCCCCCCCCAACCACCTTTTGATTTCTGTCATCATAGATTAGTGTTGCCTGCCTCCCTTCTGGAAAATGTGTTTGACTGTATCCAGGAGTCTCCCACCCTCCCAGGCCACTCTTTGGTCTCCTTTGCTGGAGCTGCCTCCTGCTCCTCCTTTCTAATTGTTGGATTGTCCTTGGTTGGTCTCACTTTGTGGAACTCTTCTCCATCTACACTCCGTAGGCGATCTCATCCATCACATGCCTTTAATTGTCATCCAGTTGTTAATATTTTCCTGGTTTACATCTCCAGGCTACTCCATTCCGGAATTCCAGACTCATTTTTTGCCTCCTTGATGTTTCCACCTGAATGTCTAATGGAGATCTCAAGATTAATACACCTAAACCAAATTTCTGGTAGCCTCTCCACACCTAAACCTGCTGTTACTACAACGTTTCTCACCGTAAATTGTAACTAACTCTCTAGTTGCTCAGGCAGTATAGGAAGCAATCACCATATGTGCCAGCCTTCTGTAGCCCTGAGATGAGCTCTGACCAGACAGTAGTTGAGAGAATGGGAGGGAGAACGAAATCCCTTTGGGTCTTGAGACCCAGCTCCCCGACCAGACTCTGAGCCTTATTTTTTTCCCTTTATCAAACTGGCAAACCCCACTTAGGAAGTGTCATGACAATAAAATAAAGGATTGAAAAGTACTTAAACTTTTGAGTCATCAAGAAGAGATTAAGTTATATTCTATTTAGAAAATCTGAAGTGTATGTATGTACATACATACTTATATGCATGTGCACACATGTGATTTCCATAAAAGTGTTTAAAATTTGTTCTTTCTGTTTCGATTTACTTTGCTTATTTTGGTACAGTAAAACAGCTTATGAAAGTATTGTTGCTGGTACAGAGTTCTGATACTATTCTTGTTTTGGTTCACAGGAAAAATGGAGGCTGCTTCCAGCATTTTTAAAGGTAATTATTTCACGTTTAATAATAATTGCTTGTTTTTCAGATGAAAAAGTCGAGAAATGAGCCATTAAAAATTTTTTTTTTTTGAGAGACAGGGTTTCACCATGTTGGTCAGGCTAGTCTTGAACTCCTGACCTTGTGATCTGCCCTCCTCAACCTCCTAAAGTGTTGGGATTATATGCAGGAGCCACCGTGCCCAGCTGAAATAAACCATTTTTTAAAGATTAAGTTTTTGTCCCCAACGTTTTTTGATTTTGTATAGCTGTATTGCTAGTTTTGGAATTATAAGGTAAAATCGCTGACTGAAAGGTGCAGGTTTGGGGAGTGGTAGTCTAATTTTAGAGAGAAATAGTAAAACATGCCTAGTAGCATGACACATGATTAAAAGCCCAAGTACTATTGGCAAAAGAGTGACGGTCAGAGAGGCCCACCCAAATGAAGTGAGACATAAACCACGTATTAAGAGAAGATGGTTTAAGCTGAAAGCTGAGTGCAGAGAGCATGTCTCAATCAAGGTATTCAAGAGGAGTCTCCACAGGGTCTGCAGGAAACAGCGACCAGTCAGGGGAGCTGCTGAATATGAAGTGATGTGGTGTTGGGCTTCAATTCAGTTTCCAAGAGCTTACGTTAAGAAGTAGTGAGTACCACAGTGAGAGACCACTTGGCACCCTCTAGGGTAACTATAACCAGAATCAAATGTTAATGAGGATGTGGAGGAATGGGAACCATCATGCTCCATCGATGGGAAGGTAAAGTGTTATAGCCACTTTGGAAAACAGGCTGGCAGTTTCTCAAATGGTTAAACAAAACGTTACCACATCCTCCAGCAATTCTATTCCTAGATATCTGCCCAAGAGAAAACATGTGTCCATGCAGAAACCTGTTCACAAATGCTCATAGCAGCATTATTCATAAAATGGACATCAACTGCTGGATGGATATACAAAATGGGATATATCTGTACAATGGAGTATTATTTGGCAATAAAAAGAAATCAAGTACTATTACATGCTGCAACATGGATGAATCTTGAAACCATTGTGCTAAGTGAAAGAATGGAGACTTGAAATATGAGGCCAGGCGCAGTGGCTCATGCCTGTGATACCAGCACTTTGGGAGGCTGAGGTGGGAGGTGGGTGGATCACGAGGTCAGGAGATTGAGACCAGCCTGGCCAACATAGTGGAACCCCATCCCTACTAAAATAAAAAAAATTAGCTGGGCATGGTGGCGGGTACCTGTAATCCCAGCTACTTGGGAAGCTGAGGCAGGAGAATCGCTTGAACCTGGGAGGCGGAAGTTGCAGTGAGCGAAGATTGTGCCACTGCACTCCAGTCTGGGCAATAGCACGAGAGTGCGAGACTCCATCTCAAAAAAAAAGAAAAAGAAAATGAGTAGAGTTTTGTCCAGTTCAGTTGGGTGTTACGGACAGAGGGGAGAGTGCTGGGAAACGAGGCTGGGAATGTTGTCAGGGCCAGATTTCTTACCAGATTTGAAAGCCATGCTAAGGATTTGGCATTTCTTCTAAAAGCCATACAAAGCTATTGAGTTTTTAAGTAGGGGAGTGGTCAAGAATCAAATAAAATGGTAGTAAGATCAGGAAAATTTTTTTTCTTCACCCCTAGAAGACCGAGTCTTGCTACATTGCTCAGGCTGGATTTCAACTCTTGGGTTTGAGTGATCCTCCTGCCTCTGCCTCCTGAGTAGCTGTGACCATAGGAATGTGACACCTTGCCTGGCCTTTTTATTTTTTAAAAGGAGCTGTACATAAATGGAGAAGAAGGTACTAGGCACAGTGGCTCACGCTTGTAATCCCAGCACTTTGGGAGGCCAAGGTAGGCAGATAATTTGAGGTTGGGAGATGTAGACTAACTAACCTGGCCAATATGGTGAAACCCCATTTCTACTAAAAATACAAAAATTAGCTGGACATGGTGTCGGGCACCTGTAATCCCAGCCACTCAGAAGGCTGAGGCACGTGAACTGCTTGATCCTGGGAGGCTGATGTTGCAGTGAGCTGAGATTGCACCACTGTACTCCAGCCTGGTCAATAGAGGGAGACTCTGTCTCTATTTTTTTTGTTGTTGTTAAAACCTAAGATAAAAATACACACATTAGCCCAGGCCAGAATCATCAGTATCACTGCCCTGTCCCACTGGAGGGTCTTCATGGACAATAACACATGGAGCGATCATCTTCTATGATAGCAGTGTCTTCTGCAGTACTTCTGAAGGACCTGTCGGAGGCTCTTCTTGAGGAAAGGGTCACTCTTTTCAGAAATATACTCTATGAAATCAAATCAAATCGTAAGTCATTAGGCGATAGGAATTTTTCAGCTCCATTATAATCTTATGGGACTGCTGTCATATATGTGGTTCATAGTAGAATGAAATGTTATGTGGCACATGGCCATATATTCATGTACTCATATTTTGATTTCCAAGAGTCAGATTTCTTCTCAAGGGGGAAAACTCTTGAGGATATACTAGTAAGATGATGCGGAAATGGAATTGGAACACATTGATGAAAAGATTTATTTAATTCGTGGATTTTTTTCTCACTTTGATTTTGAGAAAAATTTGATGTTCACCCATGATTAGATTCCATTACATGAGCTATTATTTTGTTGCTAACCTACTGTTTACTTTCTATCTGTTTAGGTGAAAGGCCTTGTGAAACAGCATATAGATTCGTTTAACTATTTTATTAATGTAGAGGTAAGCATCAGACATTAGACATAAACTGAGGATTAATTGGAAGCTGGAGTCTTTCCTAATGTTGCATTTTTCACTACAGATAAAGAAGATAATGAAAGCCAATGAAAAGGTTACAAGTGACGCTGACCCTATGTGGTACTTAAAGTAAGGAACCAACTATTCTTAATTTGCTGTTTGGGTTATGTCTAACATTTTTAAAAGTGAGCGAAGTTGCTATCAAAATTCTTTTAAAATCATTGTGTTGCCCAGGTGCAGTGGCTCACGCCTGTAATCCCAGCAGTTTGGGAGGCCAAGGTGGGCAGATCACCTGGGGTCAGGAGTTCAAAACCAGCCTGGCCAACATGTTGAAAACCTGTTTCTACTAAAAATACAAAAATTACCCAGTCATGGTGGTGCATGTCTGTAATCCCAGCTACTCGGGAGGCTGAGGCAGGAGAATCACTTGAGCCCAGGAGGCGGAAGTTGCAGTAAGCTGAGATTGTGCCTCTACACTCCAGCCTGGGCGACAGAGTGAGACTCCAACTCAAAAAAATAAACTAAAATAAAGTAAGATAAAATAAAATCATTGTCTTCTATTATAAAGTGCTCAAATTACATTTTTAATTGGCAAATTATAATGAGTTATGATTGGGAAGTTTTTGAAACTATTAGGTTTTAAATATTTAAATTTTTATTATGAAATAATTTTAAGCTTAAAAGAAAAATTGCAAAAATAGTACAAGGAGTTCTTTAGTATCCTTTGCCAAGCTTTCACTGATACTAACATCTTACATAATCATAGCACAATGATAAAACCAGGAAGTTAGCACTGATACGATGTTGTCTACTAATCTGTAGATCTCATTTGATGTTTTCTCACAAATATCCTTTTTCTGGTGTAGGAATCAATCCAGAGCTCCATGTTACGTTTAGTTGTCTTGTATCCTTAGTCTCCTCAATGTTTGAAGTCCCCCAGTCTTTCTTGGTCTTTCTTGACTTTGATACTTTTGAACAATCTGCTGAATATTTGCAGAAGTTCCTTGAATTTGAGTTTGTGTGACATTTGATCATTATTAGATTGGGTTATGCATTTTTGGCAAGAATACCACAGAAGCAATGTTTTATGCTATTCTCACTGATTCATATTGGGGTGACAGATGCCAGGATGTTTTATTACTGATGATTTTAACTTTGTTCACCTGGTTAAGGTAGAATCTTACAGATTTCTCCACTAAAAAGTTATTTTTCCTTTTGTAATTAATAAGTATCTTATGGGGAGATTCTTTGTGACTATGCAACTACCGTTTCTCATAATTTCACCAACAATTTTAGCATACATTGATGATTCTTAACAACAGTTATTGTGGTGCTTACCTAATGGTGAATCTTTATTTCCATCATTCCTTCTGCATTGATACTGAAATTCTGTATGGAATAGCTTTCTCTTCCCCTCATTTATCTCTCTATATATTAATTTATATCAGTTTGGACTCATGGGTGTTTTATTTTATTCTATGAATACTCTCATATATATATTCAGTATTATCATTTTTCTGTTGTTCAGACTGTTTTAGCTTTGACCATAGGGAGACCCTTCAGATTGATCTCCTGTGTCCTTTCAAGATGCCACCATTATTTTTTGAGCACTCCTTTGCTTTCTCGTACCATAAGATGTGATTCATCTGAAATGTCCCTGTCCTGTGTTGGGAATCCAAGGATTCCTAGAGTTCCTTTTACTGGAAAACAGTATTTAGAATCCAAGATATGGACACTAAGATTTCAGCAGGCAGAGTTCAGAAACATGTGCATGTATATGAACACATACGTGCAGACACATGTGTATTTCTTTATTCTATCCATTTTTACATATATTAAAAACCATGCAGACTGATATCTCCAATTTCAGTTCAACACTGTAGGACTCATTCTAACGTTTTCTCTTTCCTTACTTGTAACTTTTATCCCATTAATGAGAAATCTGACTCCCATTATCTGTACTTTTTCTTCAATCCTAGACTATATATAAAGTTCCAGAATTGTTAACTCATATCTCTGTGAGTATAAGATTTACTAGAGTGTAATATTTGTGCACTGTTCTTTTTATCTTTAGCCTTACAATGTCCAACCAAAATACTGTCTCCCAGGGTTACTTATGTTAGTTCCTTTATTTTTTCAGTATGTGAAACATTATTATGATTGTAAGAGTTAGACCTGCACAAAAAAGTATATTCAGAAAATAGTTGTTCCACTTCCAGTTCTTTCCACCCTGTTCCCATACCATCAGTACTCTTTGCACTTTCCTGTTTCTTTCAGTAAGTATTGTTTTTAGGGAGCTGTATTTCTAGTAATTTTGTAAAGAGATTTACAATTTTTTTTTTTTGAAATGGAGTTTTGCTCTTGTTGCCCAGGCTGGAGTGCAATGTCATGATCTCAGCTCACTGCAGTCTCTGCCTCCTGGATTCAAGTGATTCTCCTGCCTCAGCCTCCTGAGTAGCTGAGATCACAGGCATGCACCACCATGCCCAGCTAATTTCATATTTTTAGCGGAGACAGAGTTTCTCTGTGTTGGTCAGGCTGGTCTCGAACTCCCAACCTCAAGTGATCCACCCGCCTTGGCCTTCCAAAGTGCTAGGGTTATAGGCGTGAGCCACCATGCCTGGCGCATATTATTTTTTAAAAGATACTTTGACAATGTTTTCCCTCCTTTGTAAAGCTATATGTACTATCACTTCAAGAAGATCTCCAGTTTCAATACTCAATTTGTCATCCTTATCAAGATAAGCATTTGTCAAAACATAATCTTTGCATTTGGAAGGAAAATAGTTTGTTTGCTTTTATGGTCTTTGAAGAAGTATAATTCATACTGCACTAACTTGCTTTTCAGATATCTTAACATCTATGTTGGGCTACCTGATGTTGAAGAAAGCTTCAATGTAACTAGACCAGTGTCCCCTCATGAGGTAATTATGAACCTTGCTTTAATTGGACTTGCTTGAACTCAGAGTCTGCTCTTAATATATACTCTTAAAAGATAATTTAAAAATGGGGCGGGGTAGGGGATATTCTTCTGAGAAAAGGGAATCAGAGTTCAGTGTGGGCCGTACTTCTGCAGAAGGAACACTTTGAAGTGGTCAGGACTCTATTACAGAAAGAGCAGTAACTGTCAGATACGTGATTCTCTTTCAGTGCCGTTTGAGGGACATGACATACTCTGCCCCCATTACAGTGGATATTGAATATACCCGAGGCAGCCAGAGGATTATCCGCAATGCCTTACCCATTGGCAGGTGAGAAATGAAATCTGTATTAGAGCCACACTGCCTGGATGCCAGCCCTGTGATGTGACCCCATTTCCACATCTGAAAAATGCAGGAAATGCTGCCTATTTCATGGGTCGAAAGAGTCAGCACATGTAAAGCACTTAGAATAATGTCCAGCACATAGTTGGGGTTGTTACTATTTATTAATGATAAAATTTTTCCTAAAAAATTGAGGAAAATGTTTTCCTTTCCTACTATAACTCTTAAGATGCTAGGGAAACACTAGGTATGATAGCATTTCAGTGAACTCTTCTGGATGGCTCTTCTTGGTGCATTCCAGGTATATTCTAAGTTTGAGTTTTCCTGGAATTTAACTCTTTCTCATCTACAAGTATTTAAGGGAGAAATTATTTATTTGCCTGGTACAAGTTTGGAAATGATAGCATCTACTTGGATTTTTGCAGTCTGCCTTTCCTGATTAGGGAAATATTGACTCTCCTGTAGAAATGGACAAAACCCACAATATTCTGAGTTTAATAATGGTATTAGACTTTAGATTTAATCCACATAATTTCTGTTCAAGTGTTTTTCCCCTCTCAAAAGTGCTAAGAGCTTAATAAACATCCATTTGTTCAACTAATGTACACTAACTGCCTGTCACTTCTTATGTGTGATGCTGAGTACTTAGGTAAGTAAAAGATACACAGAATACAGCTCCTGTTGGCTACCTTCATTCACAGCTGTCAGGGAAGACAGGCATATGTAATTATGGCACCATTTGCTAAGTGGTCTAGAAGTCCAGAATTTTATGTTAAAGCAAACATATATATTTCCCTCAAAGGAAGGGGTAATTTGTATTGCTTCTCTCCTCATTCTTCAGTTAGAAAAATAAGTAAGATATTAAAATATCCTGGTTTTAGCAGGATTATTTATCAGTGTTAAGATGAGAACTTCTTTCTGTCTTATATATGGACCATACTTGTGTCCATTTAAATTTTGGACCGTTGCTAAATTATGAACTGGATTGACTTGTGAAGGAAAGGCAAGAGAGACTAGAGGAAAACATAAATTAGTAAGATTTTGGGTTTAAATCCTGGTTTAAAGAGGGAGCATGTAACTAGTATTTGTTGAATACCTACTATGTGCCATACTATGATAGGCAATGTTGTTTGTTAGCTCTGCATTCATAAAAATAACCTCTATTAATTAGAATGCTTATGTGTACTATGCATTATCTAAATTACATATGTAATCTCATTTATTTTTTGGAGTAAAAAGATTTTAGTTTAATCCAAATTGTATTTTTATTTGGTTAGAAATCAAACAGTACATAAGAACATTTGATTCAAAACAGTAACCTTCCTCCCTCCCCTTCCTCACCTTTAGACCCATTCCCAAATTCATAACAATTTCTGTTATTTTTTCTGGGGATTATTATATCCATAGCTTTAGTGTGTCTGTGTGTGTGTGTGTTTTGTTTTGTTTTGAGACAGTCTCACTTTGTTGTCCAGGCTGGACTACAGTGGCATGATCTCAGCTCACTGCAACCTCTGCCTCCCAGGTTCAAGTGATTCACCTGCCTCAACTTCCCAAGTAGCTGGAATTACAGGTGTCTGCCACCACACATGGCTAATGTTTTTGTATTTTTAGTAGAGATGGGGTTTCACCATGTTGGTCAGGCTGATTGTAAACTCCTGACCTCATGTGATCCACTCACCTTGGCCTTCCAAGGTGCTGCGATTACAGGTGTGAGCCACCATGCCTGGCCAATATTCATAGCTAAATGCGATGCTTTGACCTCTATGTCTTGATACATTAAATATAGACATTATTTTTTGTCTCCTGATATATGGGATATGGCTTAACTTATTTGTGTCACCTACTTTGCTTCTCCCTTATTCCTCCAAATTCTCCTTCTTGTTTTTAATTCTCTTTTTGGTTGCTGTAGTAACTGTAATATTTTATATCTTTATGTCATATTATACAACTTTAGTCAGTGTGTTCGTTTCCCTTGATGTGAAATGAGAATATTCTTTTTTTTTTTTTTTTGGTTAAATGACTTACTGTATAACTTTATTTCATATTACATAAATATTAAATGCTCAGTAGACATGCAGATGACAAGCAGTATGTGACAAACTATAAAGTAATAATTACATGCAGAGTTTCTTGGATTTTTAGTGTATCTAAGAATTAACTGAAGACTTTGTTAAAAATGCAGGCTTAAAGGCCAAATTTAATACAAGTAGGATGGAGCCTAAAAACCTGTAAATTATTAAACAACTGATTAAAGATAGAGAGGTTCCTATGAAGCTAGGCTTGTCCTTATTATTTGAACTGGACAAGTGGAAGGATAATAGGTAGGACAGAGTGAGCATTATTAGAAAAGTAGAGGCCAGAATACGTCCAGGTGTTTTAGCCTAGCTAAAGAAGCTCAGACTAGAAAAGACCTCCAGGATCAGGCTGAAAATCTGGAGATTAGACTCTTGAAACTAAGGTTTCAGGACAGGGGGATAATAATATGATACTGACTTTTAAAGGAATATTGAGTCGTCGGATGCACTGCAAGCTGGAAAGCCAGCGAGAGGGTTCAGAATGAGATGATAAAGGTGAGCATTAGGAAGGAGGTATTTAAAAGAAAAAATAAAATGTCAAAAGATACTTTGGTAAAAAATGTTCCTTTCACATACTTAAGGATAGGCAGTTAAAATTAAATACATTATAAAATACCCAGGTCAAACATATTAATAACAATATCAATAATATGAATGAAATAATATTCAACAGGTTTTTCAGATGTTTACTTCCATGATTCCTGACAGTACACAGGAGCTTAGTAACAGTTTGTATTGCCTTCTTTTGATGGGGTTTTCAGGGCAAAATTTTCTTTACTTTCATGATGAAAAGCCTTTGAAGGATCAAAGCGTTTGATACCTAGGACTTTATTTAATTCATCTTGAAGTTTTGTCTCTGTTTGTTTTTTTTTTTTTTTTAGCAAGCACAGTGGAGTTTTGTTACTTCCGATTTGAGTTGGCTATTTTCATCTTTCAACTTCACAACATGCTTGATTTTTTGTTTTAAATTCTGATGACCCAATAACTTAGCATATGAATCTCTTATTTTATTTAGCTGTTCCTGAGCTGCACCATGTTCATTCAACAATTCCTGTTTTTCTGCTTCAAAAGCATCTAGTTGTAGCTGGAAAGGTTTTATTTTATTATATAGTTCTTCGTAAAGGAGACGCCACTTGTTAATTTCTTCAGTTAATTCTGCCATTGTATTTTCTTTTCCAGCTTTTCTTGCTTCTTCATCTTCCAGTTGTTTTCTGAAATCTTCTTGTTGCTTGAGTTGGTTCTGCAAATCAGTTATTTTTTGAAAAGAAGAAACTGTGATTTCTTTAATTTCTCTTTCTTTTAGTGCTAACTTGGTTTGTAGATCTAGAAGCATCCTTACGTATTCTTGAATTGAGCTCTCGGTTGCCAATATCTGACCCTGAATATCTTCTGCATTTTTTCCAGCCTTGACCATTTTTTCCTGTAATGATGAGTTCTGCAGCTTAAGATCTTCTATCTCACTGGTCTGTTAACGCTTTATAGCTTTCAAATTGAGCAGTAACATCTTCAAGGCTTTGCACTGTACTGTTAACCTTTTCCTGCAAAAGCAGGGTGGCCTGGCTATGAGCAGCACTACTTTTCTCCAGTTCAGCCTCCTTCCCTTTCAGCTTTTCTTCTAGAGTTTTAATTCTTCAGCTCTAGATTTTGTTTCCTCTTCCAATTGCTTGACCAGCCTTTCAGATTGTTCCTCCTTTTGCTGTAATTTATCAAGCTCATCCAGTGCTTGTTTTAATTGTTCCTCAAAGAGATTCTTCTCTTTAACCATCTCTTCTTGAAAAGAACACAGCTTCTGATGAAGACTAGAAGATAATTCTTGTAATTCCTTTTGTTGAAGCTTTTCACGTTCCTGTTCAAGAATAAATTTCTGTTTTAGGTTTTGCATCTCAGCATTTAGATTTTCATTATGTTCTCTATTCCTGTTGACATGATCTTTTTCTTTTTCAAGCAGCTGACCTTTCGCATTTAAGTCTTCTACTTGTTTAGATAATATAACAGTATTTTTCTCAAGAGACTGCTTACGGCTCAAAATTTCATGATTCTTCTCCTTCAAATTTTCTTCTAACTGGGCAATATCTAGCTTGTATTTTTCCACTTGATCTGAAGCATGATTAATTTCTTGGATATATTCTAAGAGTTTTTCTGTTTCAGATTTTTCATCAATCTTTTCTTTCTCTATTGAAACAAGTTTTCCCTCCACTTGGGCTATTTTCCCCTGAGACTCTTTGAGACTCCTTTGGGTGACCTGCAGCTTCATTTCCATGCCTTCCTGCTTAGCCATCAGATCGCTTGTCTTTGTTTCTCTTTTGTTTCTAAGTTTCATCAGCTCCAAACTTAGAATTCCCAAATTCTTCTGGTTACCATTTTCCAAAAACTTAGATTTTAGTAGTTCATTTTTCCTGGTCAATTCAATAAGTTGTTTTTCCAGTGAAGCATTATTTGCAGAGAGAGATGTTTTTTCCCTGAATGCAGCGTTTAGCCTTGCTTCCGTCTTTTCCACCTCAGTTTCCAGATCCTGGATCCGCCTGTCCTGAGCACCACGTTCCTGTGTAAGAACACGAATCCTTTTTCTGATATCTTCAAATATTTATCATTCTTTTGAGATTCTTTTGATTTGGAAGACTTAACTTTTCTAACTGAAGCAGGCAAGGTAGTATCCTTGTCAACATTAAGATTTTCTTTAGAATCTTTTTGTTGTTTAAATCTTTGTGATTTCTGAAAGGATACTGGTTCTTTCAACACCTCTGAAGTTTTAACATCATAAGCACCTGGAGATGGTGTACAACCAGAAGGGTCATTGAATCGTTTCACGGGTGCCTTAGGAAAGGACATGTCGACAGCCGGCTCCAGAAACCGAAAGTCATTGGCACTCCTCCGCAACTGAATGCAGATTATCACTGCCTCTGAAATGAGAATATTCTTATCCTATCTTCCCATTATGATTTCCTTTTTAATCTGAGTTATTTAGAAGACTTAAAATTTCCAATTGGTGCTTTATGTCAATTTTTGGAACTTTGTAGACCTGTTTCTATAAATACTTCATGTTTATTTGGAAACAAGGGGTATTCTCCAGTTGTTTTGTGCTATTGTTTGTGTTTTTCCTTCAGATCAAACTTGTTAATTGTGTTGTTTAGATGTTTTGTATATCTTAATTGCTTTTTGATTTGTTTGTTCTATTAATTAGGCATGTTAAAATCTCCCACTATGATGGTGGATTTGTCCATTTTCCTTATGTTTTTGTGTATCTTTGCTTTTTTGAAGCTATGATATTAGGTGCGTAGAAGTTTAAAGTTGTTCAGTCTTCCTGGTGAATTGAACCTTTGATTATTATACATTTATCTTCTTTATATCTGGTGATATTCTTTGCCTTGAATCTTACTTTGTCTGCTCTTAGTATAGCCACATTTGCTTTCTTTTGGTTATATTTCTGGTATATCATTTAAAAAAAATTATTTTCTTTTTAATCTTTTAAATGTGCTGGGCATAGTGGCTCATGCCTGTAATCCCAACACTTCGGGAGGCTGAGGCCAGCAGATCACCTGTGGTCAGGAGTTCGAGACCAGCCTGGCCAACATGGTGAAACCTTGTCTCTACTAAAAATACAAAAATTAGCTGGTTGTGGTGGTGCATGTCTGAGGCGTGAGAATTGCTTGAACCCGGAAGGCAGATGTTGCAGTGAGTCAAGATTGTGCCACTGTACTCCAGCCTGGGCAACAGAGCGAGATTTCATCTCAAAAAAAAAAAAAAAAGAACTCTTATATGTCCTTGTGTTTTGAGTTTAGTTGAAGTAAACTACATATGGCTAGATTTTTAAGAAATTTGTCTTGAGTATGTAGTTCATTTGTATTTGTTTTATATATATACATACATATATACATATATTTGAATACAAATCTGTCAACTTATATTTTAAAACTGTGTGGCTTTTCATGTTTTGTTTGTTTGCTTTTTTCCATTTTTGTTTCTTAGGTAATGGAAGACTTTTTTTCTCACCCTTCCCTGACTGATTGAAAAGTCACATACAGTATTTCTGTTTATGTTTACCTTGGAAATTTTGAAAAGCATACTTAACGAAGTTTGAAAGTAAACAATATTTTCCTCCTGGCATGAACAAAGACCTTAGAAAGCTTTAACTTGGATCAGTCAATCACTTTGACTTACATGCTTTTGTTATACCAAAGTTTTGTTCTATCTTGTTTTGTTTTGGTCTTGTTGAGACAGGGTCTCACTCTGTCACCCAGGCTGGAGTGTAATGGTACACTCACGACTCACTGCAACCTCAACTTTTTGGGCTCAAATGATCCTCCCACGTCCAGCCTCCTGAGTAACTGGGACTAGAAGTGCACCACCACACCTAGCTAATTGTTTTTTTTTTTTTTTTAAAGAAACGGGGTTTCACCATGTTGCCCAGGCTGGTCTTGAACTCCTGGGCTCAAGTGATCTACCCACCTTGACCTCCCAAAGTTTTGGGAATTGCAGGCATGAGCCACTGTTTTTGGCTTGTTTTTTTAAACCCGTAAATTAGAAATTGTTATTGTCTTATGAAGTTTAGAAGTTTATTTAGTGTATTAACTTATCTCAGTTTTTGTCTGAAAATATCCTTATGTCGACCTCATTCTGAGTGAATACTTAGCGGGATACACAAATCGAGGTTGGCAATTCTTTTCTCTCAGGACTTTGAGCACATTGCTCTGTGATTGATTGTTGTGAAGTTATTGTGCATCCAGCCATCCTTCCCTTTTTGGTAGCTTCCCTTTTTTTCTGGCTGGGCTTTAAATCTTATCTCTAGTTTTGGTGTTTAGTATCTTCACTGTGATATGCCTAGGTGTAGCTGTCTTTTTATTTATGTTGTGTAGATGTTACTGTGAGGATTTATGGCTTTCATATATCTTTAAAAATTTACAGCTATTATCTCTTTGAATAGGACCTCTCACCCATTCTGTGTATTTTCACCATCTAGAAGTCTGATTAGATGTTTATTAGTTGTTCTCTCTCTATCCTTCCATGACTCTTAAACGCTCTTTCATATCTTCCATCTCTATGTCTTTCTGAAATATATTCTCAGTAATTTCTTCAGATGCCTTTTCTAACTCAGTAGTTATATCTTCAGCAGTGTCAAATGCATTATTATCCAGCCTATTTCTACATTTTTAAGTCAGTGCTTAAAATGTCCATTTCTGATAAGTTTTGCTTAGTTCTTTTTCCCAAACTGCCCAGTTGGTTTTTGTAGCCTCTTATTCTGTACACCTTGATGCATTGTACTATTTCCAAGTAACTGATGAGAATCACTTGTCTTCCGTGAGGGAAGTTGTTGCTGTCATTTCTGACTCTCACTAAAGCCTGTATGCAAAGTTTAAACCAAACATTTGAGTTTTTTGTTTTGTTTTTTGAAGCAGAGCCTCGCTCTGGAGTACAGTGGCATAATCCCAGCTCACGGCAACTTCCACCTCTGAGTTCAAGCGATTCTCCTGTCTCAGCCTCCTGAGTAGCTGGGACTGTAGGCACACACTACCACACCCAGCTAAATTTGTATTTTTAGTAGAGATGGGGTTTCACCATGTTGGCCAGGCTGCTCTCAAACTCATTGCCTCAAGCAATCTACCCACCTTGGCCTCCCAAAGTGCTGGGATTACAGACATGAGCTGCTGCACCCAGCCTGAGTTTTTATCATCTGTACTAGATGAGCAGCATGCCTGAGAAAATACTTAGTTTTGCTTGGCTTCCATGTAATTGCTATTCCTCTGCCTTTTCTAACATGTACGTAGACAGACCCCTTAGTGAGATGTGTCTGTCTATGTTTTATATACAAAACTGCATGTTTTATATTTTTTGCAATTCAATGACAGTCTAATGTGATTTTTTTGTTTTATGTTTTATGTTTTATGTTCATTTTATGTTTTATTTTTTGCAATTCAATGACAGTCTAATGTGATTTTCTTTTGTTTTATTTTATGCAGAATGCCCATAATGTTACGTAGTTCAAACTGTGTTCTTACAGGAAAAACGCCAGCAGAATTTGCCAAACTGAATGAATGTCCTTTAGATCCAGGTATGTGTAAGGTCTTAGATTTGTCCCACTTTCCTTTTTCTTTTATTCTGTTGCTTCTGCTGTTGTTTTAACATTGTGTCTCAAAAACAGTACCAGCTTTTCTACTTTATAATGAACTTGTTCAATAAAGCTGTGTTCACAAAACACACACAGAAATTTGTCTCCAGCTTTATGCTATTAGCCAGCCTACCTCCCTCCCCTCCCCTCCCCTCCCCTCTCCTCCCCTCTCCTCCCCTCTCCTCCCCTCTCCTCCCCTCTCCTCCCCTCCCCCATTCTCCCCCACCCCATTTTCCCCCTTCCACAGTGGTGTGATATTGGCTCACTGCAACCTCCGCCTCCCAGGCTCAAGCAGTCCTCCCACCTCAGCTTTCCAAATAGCTGGGACTACATGCTTATGCCACCATACCCAGCTAATTTTTGTATTTTTAGTAGAGATGGTGTTTGCTATGTCATCCACCTGCTATCCTGGACTTACCCACCTTGGCCTCTGAAACTGCTGGGATTACAGGCATGAACCACTTCACCCAGCCCTATTAGTCTATATTTCTAAAACACATATGGTTTCCTCTTTAATTTCAGGCTTAAAACTTTAATATGCCATATTCTCATTTATTGCCATGATGTATCAGTCTTTTCTTTCTATCTTTGCTCAGTCGTTTCTTTTAGTATGCTTAAAAATTCAAGAATAATCTACCAAAGTTACTGCCTTTGCCTGGTCAAAGAAAATCAAGTATCTTGGCTGGGTGTGGTGGCTTATGCCTGTAATCCCAGCACTCTGGGAGGCCAGCGTGGGTGGATCACCTGAAGTTGGGAGTTCGAGCCCAATCTGACCAACATGGAGAAAACCCATCTCTACTAAAAATACAAAATTAGCTGAACCTGTTGGCACATGCCTGTAATCCCAGCTACTCTAGAGGCTGAGGTAGGAGAATCTCTTGAACCCAGGAGGTGGAGGTTGCAGTGAGCCAAGATCATGCCATTGCACTCCAGCCTGGGCAACAAGAGGGAAACTCTGTCTCAAAAAAAAAAAAAAGTCAAGTAAACTTTGGGCTGTTTTAAAGGCAGTAAAGGGAAGGGGGAAATGAAAGTATTTTTTTGCTTACATTTTTAAAAATTTTATTTCTGTACCTATTTCTAGGCAATTTCTTTTGTAAAATTTCAAACTTAGAACTTAATGCTTAATTCTTCAACTCATATTTCACATTGATTTATTTGAACTTACTGCTTCAATCTTATTCCTGTAAAGTTGCATTGTTGCAGAATTCCTCAGTTTTGGAAAGAAGTTAATGAAGAACATGACTTTACTAGACTTATTATAAAAGAATTTTGCATAAGTCAAATATGTTGTTTTTTTTTTTTTGCTTATATTCTGCAGTTATAAAGTGAAGTGTCACTTTATCCTACTCTGAATTGTGTACAAAAAAATACATGATGATGTATGAGTTTTTTGAATATGTTATATTATTTTGGAAACCTGATCTTAGTCTACCGTTACCACTGATTTGTTAGAAAACTTAGAGTAAATTTAAGCTTATATTGAATATTGTCAGTTACTCCTATACTTAAGAGATCTGACAGCTAATTTACTTAACTTTTTTTTTTTTCATTCATCTTCTATATATGTCGGGCTGGTGATTCAGAGACCAATAAGGTATATTCTCTGTCCTCAAGAAATTTATCATCTTGTGGCTCATTTGTATAAAATCATGTGCTGATTGTTAGTCCATAAAACAGTATCGGATCAGTGCAATGGCTCCTGTTTGTAATCCCAGTGCTCTGGGAGACTGTGGTGGGAGGATGGCTTAAGACAGGGAGTTTGAGACCAGCCTGAGAAGCATAGTGAGACCCTGTTACAAAAAAGTTTAAAAATTAGCTAGGCTTGGTGGCACATGCCTGTAGTCTTAGCTACTCGGGAGGCTAGGGTGGGTGAATCACTTGAGGTTAGGAGTTCAAGGTTGCAGTGAGCTATGATTGTGCCACTGCACTCTAGCCTGGGTGACAGAGGGAGATCCTTCTCTAAAAAAAAAAAAAAAAAAAAAAAAAAATCAGCACACCCTTTTGAATCAAGTGTTAACCAGTGCCGTGAAGTGGTAGAAAAGGTAATGTCTGATTCACAAGATCCCTGCCATTACTAAATCAACACTGGTTGAGGAATAAATGATGAAGTTTTTCTTATTTCCCTTGGTTAGGTGGCTACTTCATTGTTAAAGGAGTAGAAAAAGTTATTCTTATCCAAGAGCAGCTGTCTAAGAACAGGATCATCGTGGAGGCTGATAGAAAAGGGGCCGTTGGAGCTTCAGTTACCAGGTATGGAAAGCAGAGATGGTATCCTTAAGAAATATTGGTCATTCCATTAGTCCTAAACGGCTATTTCAATACAGAGGGAGCCAGTTATTACTCTCTAAAAACAGGCATTGTAATATTTAAACTATCTGCATTCAGTTTATTGTAAATGTCTGGAAGCATAGGGTATTGATTTTTAAATTTCGTTGAAGGGAGTCTGAGACATTGTTTGAAAAGTCACTGTTTAAGCTGAATTTTATGTTAGCTTGTAGAGCATGAAAGGAGATTTTGTTTCTTTGTTTGTTTAAGTTGGAGTCTTGCTCTGTCACCCAGGCTGGAGTGCAGTGGCATGATCTTGGCTCATTGCAACCTGTGCCTCCCAGGTTCAAGCAATTCTCCTGCCTTAGTCTCCTGAGTAGCTGGGATTACCAGAGCGCACCACCACACCTGGCTAATTTTTGTATTTTTAGTAGAGACGGAGTTTCACCATGTTGGTCAGGATGGTCTCGAGCTTCTGACCTCGTGATCCACCTGCCTTAGCTTCCCAAAGTGCTGGGATTACAGGCATGAACCACCGTGCCCAGCCAAAAGGAGATTTTTAAAAAGAAAAAATGTAAAACCACTCTTCAGTTTTTTTACCATTACACTCCTTTCAGCCTTTTACCATTTACATTTGTATTCCTGTATCAGTATGATCAAAGACTATTTGACACTCAGTATTGAATGACCTGTACTGTGGACTTGACACCCTATTGTTAGTTTTCTAGACCAGCCCCTTTCACAGTGTACTCATTTTGACAGCAGCATCCCTTTCGAGGCTTCTGTAACTTCTTTTTATTTTCATGTGTAATTTGAAATGTGAAGGTTAATGAGTTCTGGGAATAGAAAGATTTGTGGCATAGGCCGGGCGCGGTGGCTCACGCCTGTAATCCCAGCACTTTGGGAGGCCGAGGCGGGTGGATCACAAGGTCAAGAGATCGAGACCATCCTGGTCAACATGGTGAAACCCCGTCTCTACTAAAAATACAAAGATTAGCTGGGTGTGGTGGTGCGTACCTGTATCCCAGCTACTTAGGAGGCTGAGGCAGGAGAATTGCCTGAACCCAGGAGGCGGAGGTTGCGGTGAGCTGAGATCGCTCCATTGCATTCCAGCCTGGGTAACAAGAGTGAAACTCCATCTCAAAAAAAAAAAAAAAAGATTGGCATAGATAAGATGTCAGGGTGCAGTAGTTTCCCCTTTGATAACCTATAATGGACAGATTAACTCAGAGTTCTTGTAGTTTTCTTTCTGATGGAGAGGCAGCTAACAATAATGGTTATTGGTTGAGTACTTTACTAGGAGGCAGGTAAAACACTAGGTATATTATTTGTCACCTCAGTCCTCCAAGATAAGTGGTACTATTAACATCTTTATTTTACAACCAGCAGACCTTAAACTCAGGGGTACCTAGACTATAAGAGGTAGATAGCCTTTGAACCCAGATCCATGTCTTCCTAATCTCTATAACTGTAAAGCCAAGGCAATTTTAATTGGAATCCTAAAGCCTTTGTTTTCTAGCTATGAGGCACTGGAATGTGCAGTTACTTAGCTTCTCTAAGCCTTGGTTTCCTTATATGTGATTTAGAGACAGTACTTCAAAGTGTGACTGTGTAGAAGATTAGCTAATGCAGGCGTCCCCAGACTTTTTACACAGGGGGCCAGTTCACTGTCCCTCAGACCATTGGAGGGCCACCACATACTGTGTTCCTCTCACTGACCACCAATGAAAGAGGTGCCCCTTCCTGAAGTGCGGCAGGGGGCCGGATAAATGGCCTCAGGGGGCCGCAGTTTGGGGACGCCTGAGCTAATGTAACTAACATGGGTTATAGTGCATAGTAGCTCTGTGTGTGTTACTAATGTGGTTGATTAGAGCTTTTAAAATGCTTTGAAATCCATTAGGAGTTTTATAACTAATACAGATACCAATAGAAGGACATTCCTTTCTTTTGGCTTAACTGTTTAACGAGACCATGGGTATGTTTTGTTGAATTACTAGTTAAAAAACCCATAGTATGTAAATTCATTTCTTTTTATTTCCTCATTATGTTTAAGGCCCATTTTGAGGTCTTTCCTTTCAACTATATAAAATTGGTCTTCTATGTATGCTTTACAGTGGATCAAAGTAATTCAGGTGGAGTCAAAGGGAAGCTTGTCAGAAAGTAATTGTCACTCATTCACACACAGAACTTCCATCATAATCTCAAAGTCAAAGAAAAATTTATACTGTTTTTAGATGTTCACAGAAGTAGCAGCTGGGCAGGAGAGGGTTTTTTTAAAAAAATACTTATTAGAAAGGACCTTATGATTGTTGTTGATCAGTTGACCCTTATTGATTAATGGTCATTGCTATTGCATGCTACTAGCTTGAAACTAAGTGGGAATGCAGTTTAACCAACTTGTATTTACTCGTAGCTCTACCCATGAGAAAAAAAGCAGAACCAATATGGCTGTGAAACAAGGGCGATTTTATCTGAGGCATAATACTTTGTCGGAAGATATACCTATTGTCATCATATTTAAGGTAAAGCTGCAGCTCTCTTCTGAAAATTATAAGAATTCGTTTCTCTGGTTTATTTCCATATGTAATTAGAAATTTGGAGGTTAAGGAATTCTCGGAATAGAAAGATTGGTGACGTAAGTTGTGTCATATGATGTATTTTAAGTTGAAAGCTGGGCATGGTTGCTCATGCCTGAAATCCCAACATTTTGGGAGGCCAAGATGGGCAGATTGCCTGATTCCAGGAGTTTGAGACCAGCCTGGGAAACATAGTGAAACCCTATCTCTACCAAAAAATAAAAAAGATTAGCTGGGTGTGGTGGTGTGTGCCTCTACTCCCATCCACTCAGGAGCTGAGGTGGGAGGATGGTTTGAGCCTGAGAAGCAAAGGTTGCAGTGAGCCCAAGTAGTGCTACTCTGCTCCAGCCTGGACAACATAGTGAAACCTCATCTCTGCAAATAATAAAAACATTAGCCAAGCATAGCGGCATGTGCCTATAGTCCCAGCTATTTGGGTGGCTGATGTGGGAGGATCACTCAAGGCTGCAGTGAGCCATGATCATGCCACTGCACTCCAGCCTGGGCAACATAGCAAGACCCTGTGTCAAAACCAAATAGAAACTCAGCTTATTTGTGAATTGTTGGCCTAGAACCCAAAAGACATTTTCCATAGAAACAATATTGAAATGGTATAGTTTTCTCAGATATAGGCATACCTCAGAGATATTAAAAGTTTGGTTCCAGACCATCACAATAAAGCTAATATTGCAGTAAAGTGAGTCCCACAAATATTTAATTTCCCAGTGCATACAAAAGTCATGTGTATACTGTAGTCTGTTAAGTGTGCAGTAGCATTCTGTATAAAAAATATATGCCTCAATTAAAATACACTTTATTGCTAAAAAAAGTTAACAATTATCTGAGTCATAGTCTTTCAGTGAGTTATAATCTTTTTACTTATAGAGGGTCTTGTGGCAGTGTTAGTGGCTACTAACTAATCAGGGTGGTGATTGCTGAAGGTAGCTGTGGCATTTTCTTAAAATAAGACATCAGTGAAGTTTGCCACAGGTATTGACTCTTCCTTCATGAATGATTTATCTGTAGCATGTGATGCTGTTTGATAGCATTTTACCCACAGTAGAACTTCTTTAAAAATTGGTATCAGTTGTCTTAAACCCTGCTGCTGCTTTATCAATGAAGTTTACATAATATTCTACATCCTTTGTTGCTATTTCAACAATGTATACAGCATCTTCACCAGGAGTAGATTCCTTTTCAAGAAATCATTTTCTCTGCTCATCCTTAAGAGGCAGCTCCTCATCCATTCAAGTTATATTGTGAGATTCTACCAATTCAGTCACATCTTTAGGCTCTACTTCTGCTTCTGGTTCTCTTGCCATTCCCACCACATCTGCAGTTACTTTCTTCACTGAAGTCTTAAACCCCTCAAAATCATCTTTGCAAATGGGAATCAGCTTCTTTCAAACTCTTGTTAATGTTGGTATTTTGACCTCTTCTCATGAATCACATATATACAGATATTCTTTTCTTTTTTTTTTTTAGGTGAAAGCAAGTTTATTAAGAAAGTAAAGAAACAAAAGAATGGCAGAATGGCCACTCCCTAGGCAGAGCAGCCTCAAAGGCTACTCGTTGCTCATTTTAATAGTTATTTCTTGATTATATGCTAAACAAGGGGTGGATTATTCATGAATTTTCTGGGAAAGGGGTGGGCAGTTCCCAGAACTGAGGTTTCCTCCTCCTTTTAGACCATATAGGGTAACTTTCTGATGTTGCCATGGCTTTTGTAAACTGTCATGGCCCTGGTAAAAGTGTGAAGATTCCCAAGATGACTAGCGGTCACTCTCATTGCCATCTTGGTTTTGGTGGATTTTGGCCAGCTTCCTTACCACAATCTGTTTTATGACCTTTATCTTGTGCCAGCTTCCTGTCTCATCCTGCGACCAAGAATGCCTTAACCTCCTGAGAATGCAGCCCAGTAGGTCTCAGCCTTATTTCACCCAGGCCTTCTTCAAGAGGGAGTCACTCCGGTTCAAACACCCCTGACATATTTCCCCCCTTTCCTTTTTTAAAAAACCCTAGTTCTAAGGATTGTAGAAGGATGAAGATCCATCTTCTGTAACTTTTTCAGTCTGAATAGGGATGATGATATTCCTGCCTAACTATTAGTGTCTCTTGTGTTCAGGAGAATCACAGATATTCTTACTGGCATCTAGAAAAGAGTGAATCCTTTCCAGAAGGTTTTCAGTTTACTTTGTCCAGATCCATTCAAAGGAATCACTATCTATGGCAGCAATTGCCATAAGTCTTGAAAGTTAAAATTACTTCTTTATTCCTGGGCTGCAGAATGGATGTTGTGTTAGCATGCACAAAAACAACATTAATCTCCTTGTACATCTCCATCAGAACTCTTGGTGACCGAGTTCATTTTCAGTGAGTAATGTTTTGAAAGGAATATTTTTTCTTAGCAGTAGGTCTCAACAGTAGACATAAGATATTCAGTAAATTATACTGTCAACTGATGTGCTGTCATTCAGACTTTGTTGTTTCATTGGTAGAGCACAGGCAGAGTAGATATAGCATATGTCTTAAGGGTTACGATTTTCAGAATGGTAAATGAGCACTGACTTGAACTTTTTCATCGGGTACATTAGCCCCTCACAAGAAAGTCAGCCTGTCCTTTGAAGCTTTGAAGCCAGGCATTGACCTCTCCAGCTGTGAAAGTCATAGATGACATGTTCTTTTAATAGAAGGCTGTTTCATCTACATTGAAAATCTATTGTTTAGTGTAGCCACCTTCATCAATGATCTTAGCTAGATCTTCTGGATAACTTGCTGCAGCTTCTCCGTCAGCACTTGCTGCTTCACCTTGTACTTTTATGTTATGGAGATGGCTTCTTTCCTTAAACCTCATGAACCAAACTCTCCTAGTTTCCAAGTTTTCTTCTGCTCCTTCCTTACCTCTTTTAAATTGAACAGAATTAGGCCCTTATTCTGCTGTTATTAGACCCTTATTATGCTTTGACTTAAGGGAATGTTATTATGGCTGGTTTGCTTTTTTATCCAGACCATTGAAACTCTCTATATATCAGCAATAAGCCTGTTTTTACTTTCTTGTCATTTCTATGTTCACTGAAATAATTTCCTTCAAGAACTTTTTTTTGTGTGTTCACAACTTGGCTAATTGGTGTAAGAGGCCTAGCTTTTGGCCTGTCTCAGTTTTTGACACACCTTCCTTTCTAAACTTAATCATTTCTCACTTTTGATTTACAGTGACAGACATGCATCCCTTTTTTTTTTCTTTTTTTACTTGCACACTTGAGAAGCCATTCTAGGGTTATTAATTGGCCTAATTGCACTATTGTTGTTCTCAAGGAATAAAGAGGCTCAAGGAGAAGGGAGAGAGATGGGAGAATAGCTGGTTGGTGGAGTAGTCACAACATACACATTTATCGATTAAATTTTTCATCTCTTATGAGCACAATTTGTGGTACCCCAAAATAGTTACAATAGTAACATCAAAGATCACTGATCGGCCAGACACAGTGGCTCACGCCTATAATCCCAGCACTTTGGGAAGCTAGGGCAGGGATCATTTGAGGTCAGGAGTTCGAGACCAGCCTGGTCAACATGGTGAAACCCCATGTCTACTCAAAATACAAAAATTAGCCAGGTATAGTAGTACACGTCTATAATCTCAGCTACATTGGGAGGCTGAGACAGGATAATCACTTGAACCCAGGAGGTGAAAGTTGTGGTGAGCTGAGATTACACCACTGTACTCCAGCTTGGGCAACAGAGTGAGACTCTGTCTCAAAAAAAAAAAAAAAAAAAAAAAAATCATTGATCACAGGTCACCATAACAGTGAAAAGGTTTGAAATATTGCAAGAATTACCAAAACATGACGCAGAGATATGAAGTGAGCACATGCTGTTGGAAAAATGACACCAGTAGACTTGCCTGAAGCAGGGTCAATCTGGAAGCAGGGACACACCTTACATTTGAAAAAAACACAGTATCTACTAAAGCTCAATAAAGCGAAGCATGATAAAATGTTATGTACCTGTAGTTACATAGCGGCCCATTTAACCTGCTCTAAGATGTAAATACTATACATCTTCAGTGAACAGTTAAATTGTAATATTATTAAGCAAAATAAAAAAAATAGTTGGCATTATGTGATAGTTGATCCTCAGTATCTGCAAATTCCCTATTTGTGAATTCACTTACTTGCTAAAATTTATACATAACCCCCAAATCAGTACTTGTGGTACTTTTGTGGTTACTCACAGATATATACTGACACAAAGTGGTAACAACTTTAAGTCACCCAGCGCGCATATTCCCAGCTGAGATTGAACAAGGCCACACTCTGCTTTCTTATTTCAGCTCTCATGCTGTAAACAAGTGTCCCTTTTGCAGTCTGTTTAGTGCCATGGGTTTTGTGTTTGTGCTTTGTTGATTTGTGGTATAAGATGGCCCCCTAGTGTAATGCTAAAGTGCTGTCAGGGTGTTCTGACGGCACTAATTTAGCATTCTGGAGAAAATATGTGTTAGATAAGCTTGATGAGCTTTGTTCAGGCATGAGTTATAGTGCTGTTGGCTGACTTCAAAGTTAATGAATCAATGATATATATTAAATATCTTTTAAAAGAAGCACACAAAATAAGGTTCTGTATTGGTCAGTTGAGGAAAATATTATGACCCTAGGCTCACAGGAACCTGGCCCTATATTTTTCCTACAAGCATTGGCTCAATATTCACTATTCAGTATTTGGTGTAATTCAGCAACTTTATAGAATGTAACTACCATGGATAGTGATAACCGACTCATATATAGATATAAAATGAATGTTGATAACCAGTTTAGTTGAAATGAAGGGCTCATTTCAACTAAATTGAGATTTCAACTAAATTTGAGGAGATACTGGATGCTTCAGATAATTTTAGAAATTTATATATTTGGTTTTAATAGTTATGATAGTGGAAATAATTTTTGAGTCAA